CAACTAGTGTCGCGTCAGAAACAGACTGAAGTCAACTAGTGTCGCGTCAGAAACAGACTGAAGTCAACTAGTGTCGCGTCAGAAACAGACTGAAGTCAACTAGTGTCGCGTCAGAAACAGACTGAAGGCAAATTGTGTCGCGTCAGAAACAGACTGAAGGCAACTAGTGTCGCGTCAGAAACAGACTGAAGGCAACTAGTGTCTTGTCAGAAACAGACTGAAGGCAACTAGTGTCTTGTCAGNGCAACTAGTGACGCGTCAGAAACAGACTGAAGTCAACTAGTGTCGCGTCAGAAACAGACTGAAGGCAACTAGTGTCGCGTCAGAAACAGACTGAAGGCAACTTGTGTCGCGTCAGAAACAGACTGAAGTCAACTAGTGTTGCGTCGAAAACAGACAGTAGGCCATCACAGCGTATGATTTATTTTTTAAACAAATTAGAGGTACCTCAATATGTGTTTCTTACCAATTTAACAGATGCTATATATATAATCTAGTCGATCATAGCTCAATATTATGATAGAACTTTTATTAACATATTATATAAATGGGAGAGCAATAATGCAGACTTATTAGTTAATCCTTTTTTCAGGACAAAAATAAAAACAAAAAAGAATTACCACCAGTAATATTGATTTTTAATATCGCCCTTTAACATTTGTTTCAATGTCATGGTCAGAATTGTGTCTGGAATTAATCACGAAAGCAAGCATAGATGATTAAGGGGGAAATAAAATGATTGGTTGATATTGTAAGAAAATATGCAACTTGTGATTTATGACTATAAATTGAAATAAGCAATCATGTAAGGACTATTTAGTTGAAACTTAACTGTTGATTTCCACAGATGTGCAAGTCCCTGGCGGAGGAGTTTGATACCATCAGGAGTGAATATTGGAACTATGTATCGCGAGTGTTGGCCACTAAATTTGGAAATACAAACTCAGAGACGACTCAAATTCCTACCGGACCTTCCTAGTCCAAGGTGTTTTTGCTGTATATTTAAACCTTTCATCCCCACCAGACAGAGTTAATAAACTGGTGCAAGATTCCTCCATATCATGTGAAGTGCAAAGAAAACATTGTACTTATTGCTTGCTAACAATAAGTAGGTTTAGGGAGAAGCTTATGTGATCGAGGTAGAATGTTTTGTTGGTATGTCTGTACATAGAGCTTAACCTGGTAATGTACATGTATAGTTACTAACAGGCTTCTGACAAGTAATCAACGACGTCGGACAAGTGTTATGATCTCGTGCCTTTGTAAGATACAGATTGCAGGCAAGACAGCATTCTTGGAAGAAACAGATCATGTAAAATTACAAATTTTATGTAACATTTTTTTATATCATGCAGCTATTCAGTGATGTTTCAAGGTTAAACAAACCAGCTAATACCTGTTGTATTTGTAAGCTCACCTGGCCTGAAGGTCTGGTGTAGATATAAGCTCACCTGGCCTGGAGAGGTAAGCTCACCTAGCCTTAGGTCTGGTGGCAATACAACCTCACCTGGCCTGAAGGTCTGGTGTAGATATAAGCTCACCTGGACTGGAGATATAAGCTCACCTATTCTTAGGTCTGGTGGCGATACAACCTCACCCGGCCTGGAGAGGTAAGCTCACCTAGCATTAGGTCTGGTGGCGATACAACCTCACTTGGCCTGAAGGTCTGGTGTAGATGTAAGCTCACTTGGCTTGGAGGTCTGGTGTAGATGAAAGCTCACTTGGCCTGACAGTCTGGTAGAGATGTAAGCTCACTTAATTGACCTGAAGGTCTGGTGTAGATGCAAGTTCACTTGGCCTGAAAGTCTGGTGTAGATGAAAGCTCACTTGGCCTGAAGGTCTGGTGGACATGTAAGCTCACTTGGCCTGAAGGTCTGGTGGACATGTAAGCTCACTTGGCCTAAAGGTCTGGTGGACATTTAAGCTAACTTGGCCTGAAAGTCTGGTGGACATGTAAGCTCACTTGGCCTGAAGGTCTGGTGTAGATGTAAGCTCACTTGGCCTGAAGGTCTGGTCAAGTTTTATTGGTGTACTGAATTGCTAGGTATATAATTTTTTGTGATAACAATTGAATAAATCTCAACCTGTGTTCAGTTTTATGTAAATGGAATGTAATCTAAATTGAGTTGTCGTTGTATTACTAACGCTGGTTAATTTAAGTAATTATTATGCATATGGTTAACATTTGGCTGTACCTCGTGTTTCCATACAGTGTACAATAGTCATGGTTATAACCGTTACATTCAGATAAAATGTGTTTACAATAATTTGTAAGTCAATAAGTGGATTATTTGTTCATTATGTGTGGAGAAGCCTGTTTGTTTTTAGTATATTGTACAGACTGTATTTTTCAGTCAAGAGTAAATATGTTGGGATACTGGAACAGTTACTATGTAATACGCACAATTATAAAAATTGAATTTGGAAGATACACTAGTATATTGTGCAATGATTGTGTTCATCTTCACCGTAAACAAATACTGTCTGCAGCAACTGATGAGATTATATACAACTTTGTTTAATCATACAATATCCACAAAAATGCTCTGTAACTCCTCAATCAAGAAATGATACATAACACTTGTGGGACACTATTCTGCATAGAAATATTGTAGATAAAGATTTTCTCCCTTAATATTTAAGGATATATATATTGAACGTGATTTGGAGAGTTTTCCCCCCATTTGAAAAGACAACCCTAAAGGAGCATGTGTTTTTTTACCTTTTGCTTAATGCATCCTACATTTATTACTGAATTTAGTATTACGTGAGAAAGAGGCTAAATGAAGTACAACCTATATATTACCTACTACATAATATTTCCCAATCTTTGAAAGAAACCCAGCAAAAAAATACAAAGTTGGGTCCTGAAAACCTAAGTCACACAACACAGTCAAGAGTGACAGACAAAAGAATGTCTTGAAACATTGCCATTGACATGCTATACTATGTATGGTGTCAAATTGGTCAAAAGGCATTTGTGTTTCAATTCACGAATGTGATTGGTGGATACTGGTCAAGGAGTTGTAGCACTTTGCTGTATGCCGAGTCTCGGTCAATAAGAATGGAAGAGACTCTGTGGTAGCTTATCATGATTTACAGTAACCCTCAAGTCCAAAGTGTTACCCGACTCCCAACTGTAATCAACTATTTGTATCGTAAATGGTAAATTAGACAACTAGAGAAGCCAGGAAAGTCTGTGCATCCAAAGAATTAACTTGGCACACTGAGCAGATAATGACATGTTTTAGACAAAATTTTGTTCAGGTATTTCATGCATTTTCCTGAGATGTCTAAACCTGTGTGTTGACTTAAATTGAGGAAATATAATTTTGACCGACTCATGAAAATCTGCATATGATTTGATAAATGTATATGAGTTATTGAGTATAATGTAATTGAGTTGTGTTTGACTGTAATCACGAGTTCTTAGGCCTGGGGTGCTATTGTCGGCCGTACATTTATTTAACCTGTTATTATTTTTTTTTCTACGTCCAGTTGTTATAATAAATGTCCTGATATTTAAGGTTCTTGTTTTATTTACATGTATAACTTCATAAAACTAAGCATGCTTTTCATTTGTTAACTTGTGTGCTCATCTTGAAATGGTCTCTCATGTGAGTCTTGTGATACGAGAGTGGTTTATAATGACAAGTCTTTTAGATTGTACATTGGTAGGTCACCTGAGTCTTGTGTCTCTAGATTGTACATAGGTAGGTCACCTGAGCCAAAGGCTCCAGTAAGTAATCTATTGCAATCTCTTTTCGTCTATCGTCTCTTGTCATTTAATTGTTCGATTTCAACCTAAACAGAACTGCTTCTTGGGGAATTTCAGGAGTGCTTAATTGAAATGTTACCAACAGCATCCTGTGCCTTGTGGCAATATTGCTGAAACTGCTACCATTTTGAAAAGCTATTTTCAAAGTTAAACTTCAGGTTCTAATGGGCCATGTCAACTGAAACATGGTAGGAATGTTGTCCAATATGGCTGCCACAGCCATCATTTTAATTATTTTCACCAATTTTAACTCCACTTGTAAAGGGCCGATTGAACTAAAACTTAGTGGTAATGATCTACGACAGTGGTAATGATCTACTCGTGGTCCCGACAGTGGTAATGATCTACTCGTGGTCCTGACCGTCATTCTTTTAGTAGAGGTAGGGGACTGTGAATAGCTCTGAATACCTTGCCTTTTTATATTAATTGTAACATATTACTATTTGCTGGACTATTGACACATGGTTATTTCCACCAGATAATTTGGTAATTCATCATTCATCATACCTTAAATCAAATCTGCAATTTGTACATTAATGAACCTGAACTTTGACCGCTGATGAACTAGGAAATGTGTTGTGTGGTAACTTTTGATCAAAACTTCATACTCTTGTGATCTGACTAGAACACTTAAGTGTAAAGAAAGATTTCTGATTTCTTTCAGCCATCTCTTTCTGTTCAAGGTCACATTTTAAAGCGATAACAAGTTTTGATAGTCAAATCTGCTTGTTTACTCAACAATCAACAAAATCACCAAAGCCAATCTGTAATAATTTATTTATCTGATTTCGTAATCATCCACCATGCTGATAAACAAAACAAAGCAGTTCTCTACAGCCAAATACAAACGTAGGTCTGATTTTGTACAGCCACGTACAAAAGTAGGTCTGATTTCGTACAGCCACATACAAACGTAGGTCTGGTTTCGTACACCTACATACAAACGTAAGTCTGATTTCGTACAGCCACATACAAGCGTAGGTCTGATTTCGTACAGCCACATACAAACGTAGGTCTGATCTCGTACAGCCACATACAAATGTAGGTCTGATCTTGTACACCTACATACCAACGTAGGTCTGATTTCGTACAGCCACATACAAACGTAGGTCTGATTACGTACAGCCACATACAAACGTAGGTCTGATTTCGTACAGCCACATACAAACGTAGGTCTGATTTCGTACAGCCACATACAAACGTAGGTCTGATTTCGTACAGCCACATACAAACGTAGGTCTGATTTCGTACAGCCACATACAAACGTAGGTCTGATTTCGTACAGCCACATACAAACGTAGGTCTGATTTCGTACAGCCACATACAAACGTAGGTCTGATTTCGTACAGCCACATACAAACGTAGGTCTGATTTCGTACAGCCACATACAAACGTAGGTCTGATTTCGTACAGCCACATACAAACGTAGGTCTGATTTCGTACAGCCACATACAAACGTAGGTCTGATCTCGTACAGCCACATACAAACGTAGGTCTGATCTCGTACAGCCACATACAAATGTAGGTCTGATCTTGTACACCTACATACAAACGTAGGTCTGATTTCGTACAGCCACATACAAACGTAGGTCTGATTACGTACAGCCACATACAAACATTGGTCTGATCTCGTACACCTACATACAAACGTAGGTCTGATTACGTACAGCCACATACAAACATAGGTCTGATCTCGTACAGTCACATACAAACGTGCACCTGTTGGACGGCTGGAATATTCACCAATCACTGATAACTTGGAAAAATTCTTACAAAAATTTATTGATGTACAGTGTTATTTATAAATTTGTAATTTTCCTTTATAACTGAATAATACATGCCCAGGTTTATGCAGGAAGAAGTAATTCTATATCATTTTTATATCTATTCAATTTTAATATACTTTGAAATACAGTGCCTAGGTAAGAACAGTATAAAAAGAAAACCACCATTTTGATGCTGAATTATTTAGTATAATTGCCCATTTCACGTCTAGATAAATACTTTAAGTGGGGAGAGTTGACCACGAAAACACATTCACAACCACTGATATAACAGACTTTGGTTTCTAGAATAGATAGCGTTTGGATTAGACAAGATTAACATTTTATTATTCAACACATGAAACTCTGAAACCCAATATAGACAGGGATGTTGATTATACAGGGGATGGGATTCTGACCTACATATGACCAAAGAAAAACCTTATTTCAACCTATTGGTATCGTAAAAACATCACATTCATTAGATTAGTGAATGGTGAACAACAATTTCCATGTGTTTTTTTACTGCATAAAAATGACATGGGACTAAATATGTATAAATTGTACATAATAATCATATAGTTTCAAATTAACTGTTGTGGTAATGCTGAAAAAAGTATAATATAATCACTCTCAAAATAAAACAATGAAATTAAATTACATCTGGAAAAAATACAGAATATAATCACTCGCAAAATAATTCAATAAAATTAAATTACATCTGAAAAACAATCACAACAGAATATTATCACTCACAAAATAATACAATGGAATTCTATCTGCAATAAAACAAGAAAAGTATCACTACATCCCATGATCCCATACAAGTACAGGAGAAATTACACTTCCCTATTTAGGAGGGAGACTCCCGATTTTGGGCCCTTAAATTTAGTGTTTTCAACCAGTGAATTTGCTAAACTGTTCCTATATTCTAAGATCTAATGATTTCATCTGAAAGAACAACTCAAAATATGTCATTTTAAAGGGTTATTCTGTCTCTAGAGGGTGTATACAGCCATTTAATTTTAATTTTGAGCATAAAGAATCTCCCCCATAGAAATTTCAAAAAGTTGGCAAGTAGGTTTACAGTAATACATGAGAAATATAATTACAACCTGGCAGGCGTATAATTACCTTCATAATCATACACAGCAATGAAATCAACCTTGTCCCTTGTGAACAACGTTTTACAATAATAGGAGTCTGACAGTTCCTGTAACAAAATCCCATGTACCTTGTGAACAACGTTTTACAATAATAGGAGTCTGACAGTTCCTGTAACAAAATCCCATGTACCTTGTGAACAACGTTTTACAATAATAGGAGTCTGACAGTTCCTGTAACAAAATCCCATGTACCTTGTGAACAACGTTTTACAATAATAGGAGTCTGACAGTTCCTGTAACAAAATCCCATGTACCTTGTGAACAACGTTTTACAATAATAGGAGTCTGACAGTTCCTGTAACAAAATCCCATGTACCTTGTGAACAACGTTTTACAATAATAGGAGTCTGACAGTTCCTGTAACAAAATCCCATGTACCTTGTGAACAACGTTTTACAATAATAGGAGTCTGACAGTTCCTGTAACAAAATCCCATGTACCTTGTGAACAACGTTTTACAATAATAGGAGTCTGACAGTTCCTGTTACAAAACCCCATGTACCTTGTGAACAACGTTTTACAATAATAGGAGTCTGACAGTTCCTGTAACAAAATCCCATGTCAAGTGTAGTTAACTGGTCCAAAAAGCAATCACATCCTCGGAACAATGTACTTGGCTGCCATGGCAACTAGGGGTGCAGCAGTGGGGACTCCTGGGAAGGGGCCAGAGGATCCAGCAATGTCCAGATGGGAGTAGGGAAGTGGCTTGTCCGAGTCCACACCATGCTGTAATACCCAAGATATGTAACAAGTATATCTTACTGTCTTATAATATCTAGATTAAATCTGAAATAATCATGCGAGTTGATTTAGTAAATCTTTGGAATGTTTTTCATAAATTTGTCATGATTTTAAATAGAACAGACATTTGTGTGACTTTGCTGAATTTTCAGTATCTGGAAAGTGTACATTTTAATATTACCAAAAGGTTGTACTGCAATCATAGATGTCAACCCTATCTCATTAGGAGGGAGACTCCCTCATTTTGACCAAAATTTACCAATCTCTCTCGAAAACTACCTCATTCAAGTCCAAACTCACACAAACTCAAAATCTACATTCTGTGGTCAAATGATCTCCTGGTTACTGCAGGGTGTATATGTAATGATCATAACAGTTGTCTGAATCAAATAAATGCTTTTTGGAGTTATTTTGATCAATAAAAACGGAAAGATAAATTGAGCAAAATAGTTTCAGTCGTGTTACATGCACTTTCTCCCTCATGGGAGATCTCCCTCATTGGAGGTTTCATAGGTTGACGCCTATGTGCAATGCAGTTAATACACTGCTTCAATAACTGAACAATATTTATATTAATAGCTGTCTTTCAACATTTTCACCAATTTAGTCATGCGCGACATGTGATTTTCCAGTTTTGTTTGTGCTGTAGAGAGAAATCTCCAGTCTATGACTGTTTGACATTGTTAGTGACCAGCGAGGGAATTTTAAAAGTGTCAATTAAGGTATTGTGCTGTTGATAGCTGTTCTATAGATGAAAATAAACGGAATATATGACCACATATCAGACATAAGTTTCTTTCTGTTAAGAAAAATATTCAAGGCTCACAAAATGTGGATTACATCTTCAAGCAGCAGTAGTAGTATTTAATCTTCAAGTAGCAGTAGTATTATTTAAATACAAAGACCAACTCATTGTCCCACTTAAACATAATTTCTTCCCAAACAATATGACATCCTCTTCTATGCAATACTGAATTAACTGTAAGAACATGTGTTGTACAATCAGAAAATGGGAGAGCATTGTTGAATAGCCTCAAGTTTATCAAAAACCGAAAGTAAGGTCTTACAAAAAAAGAGGAAAATCCTCCAGGAATTCTCTCGGATCATAGCTAACTGAAAAGTCAGCTATTCAGCAATCGCTTACTGGTACAGAATTCATTTTCAGGCTTTAACCCTAGACACTCACATTATGCCATACTGAGTTGTATAACACAGCTTATTGCTTTAATGTATTAACTGAAACAAATGTAGCAGTAAAGTATTGACCTTGCTTAGTCCAGAGGACATGATGAGGAAGGCTGAAGGCGACTGGTGTCCTCGGGCTGTGGCTGAGGACGCCATGTTGTTTGACTGGAGTATATCTTCATACTCAGACTTTCCGGTGTGGAACTCAAAATCCTGTAAACAAAAGAGTCAGGTACTCAAAGAGGACTGGCAGGTATTCGAAAAGGACCGTAAGGTACTCAAACAGGACAGTCAGGTACTCAAACAGAACAGTCAGGTACTCCAATAGGACAGTCAGGTACTCAAATAGGACAGTCAGATACTAAAACCTGACAGTCAGGTACTCAAATAGGACAGTCAGATACTCGAATAGGACAGTCAGATACTCAAATAGGACAGTCTGGTACTCAAAGAGGACTGGCATGTATTCGAAAAGGACCGTCAGGTACTCAAACAGGACAGTCAGGTACTCAAACAGAACAGTCAGGTACTCCAATAGGACAGTCAGGTACTCAAATAGGACAGTCAGATACTCAAATAGGACAGTCAGATACTCGAATAGGACAGTCAGATACTCAAATAGGACAGTCTGGTACTCAAACAGGACAGTCTGGTACTCAAATAGGACAGTCAGGTATTGGAATAGGACAGTCATGTAATCGAATAGGACAGGCAGGTACCTCAACAGGACAGTCAGGTATTCCAACAGGAACGAACAGGACAGTCAGGCACACTAATAAGACAGTCAGGTTCTCAAATAGGACAGTCAAGTACTCAAACAGGACAGTCAGATACTCGAACAGGACAGTCAGGTTCTCAAACAGGACAGTCAGGTTCTCAAATAGGACAGTCAGATACTCCAACAGGACAGTCATATACTCAAACAGGACAGTCAGGTACTCAAACAGGACAGTCAGGTACTCAAATAGGACAGTCTGGTACTCAAACAGGACAGTCAGGTACTCAAACAGGACAGTCAGATACTCAAACAGGACAGTCAGATACTAAACAGGACAGTCAGATACTCAAACAGGACAGTCAGGTACTCAAACAGGACAGTCGGGTACTCCAACAGGACAGTCAGGTACTCCAACAGGACAGTCAGATACTCAAATAGGACAGTCAGATACTCAAACAGGACAGCCATATACTCAAACAGGACAGTCATATACTCAAACAGGACAAATTTATGGCAAAACTGTTTCCACATGAATTTATGATATACATGTATATTTCTACTCCCTCTCAAAATTTATCTGAAATATATAATGAAGCAATTCCAACCCAGACAAATGAATTGTTGTTAAACTGTTTAGATCTACAAATAATAGCCTTACTTCACGTCGGATAGTTGAGACTTCGAAGGGGTCACCCCAGACATCCCCGATCTCCTGCATGCTGCGAGCAGTGTTGAGCTGACGAGCTGGTCCATTGTCCATGATAATCTAGAGGTAAATACCAAGGATATTACTGCTAACATTCTTTCAAATTTCCCCTTTATTCGGTCCTGAATTTGCTTTGATGAAATAAGTCACTTTCATATACATGTATATTCTTTTTTTTTTTCTACAAGAGGCATAAGGGGCCCTTATTTGCACATGAGTTTCATGGCCTTATTAAAAGGCATAAATAGCACTGTGATCAAAGTTGCTATTAACAAATTAACCATAAATCAAAAGTCAACTTATTACGACGTTTGCTTTTTCAGTATTAAAATGTGTTAGCAAAGTTTATGACCCTTATGCTGCCATAAAAATAATGCTTGCACCAACATCACGATATCTTCACGTATATACATATTACGTATACACATAATTGATTAATGCTTGCTATACCAGGCTTTGGTGTCACAAGCATTTTCTCAAACCTCAAGTTTGGGGGGGGGGGTTCAAACTTAAGTCTGCTTCTGGGCCGCTTCAGCTTTTTTGGTTCTTGAACTCAAATCTCAGCATGAGGTGGCCTCAAATACGTTTGTGATATCAAGTCAGGTCATTCCAGTATGCTTATGCTTTTGCAGTCTATATCAGGAGCAAATATACCTGTGCAGCCCTTCCTATGGGTGCACAATTGTGAAGTAAAAACAAAATCCTCAAAATAGTATTTGTAAATCTCTGCACTCCATTACATAAAAGTCCAGAAATTTTACAAAGTTTAAACAGACGGTAGCCATGGGAAAAAAATTAGGTGAGAACAATGCATTGATCATTTTCACAAAATTTCAGAAAAAAATGGTTCAGTAGTATTTCAGTTAAAAGTTTAAAATGTAAAATGTTCATGGTAACGGACAAGGACAGACAAGACAAGGTCATACTGACAAGTACAGACAACACAAGGTCACACAGACAAGGACAGACAACACCAGGTCATACTGACAAGGACAGACAACACCAGGTCACAGACATGGACAGACAATGCCAGGTCACAGACAAGGACAGACAACACCAGGTCACAGACAAGGACAGACAACACAAGGTAATACAGACAAGGACAGACAACACAAGGTCACACAGACAAGGACAGACAATACAAGGTCATACAGACAAGGACAGACAATGCCAGGTCACAGACATGGACAGACAACACAAGGTCACACAGACAATGACAGACAACGCCAGGTCACAGACATGGACAGACAACACAAGGCCACACAGACAAGGACAGACAACACAAGGTCACACTGACAATGACAGACAACACCAGGTCACAGACATGGACAGACAACACAAGGTCACACAGACAAGGACAGACAATACAAGGTCATACAGACAAGGACAGACAACACAAGGTCACACAGACAATGACAGACAACACCAGGTCACAGACATGGACAGACAACACAAGGTCACACAGACAAGGACAGACAACACAAGGTCACACAGACAAGGACAGACAACACAAGGTCACACATACAAGGACAGACAACACAAGGTCATACTGACACAGACGGACAACACAAGGTCAAACATACAAGGACAGGCAACACAAGTTCATACTGACACAGACGGACAACACAAGGTCATACAGACACAGACAGACAACACAAGGTCACACATACAAGGACAGGCAACACCAGGTCACAGACAAGGACAGACAACACAAGGTCATACAGACGAGGACAGACAACACCAGGTCACAGACAAGGACGGACAACACAAGGGCACACAGACAAGGACAAACAACACAAGGTCATATAGACAAGGACGGACAACACAAGGTCATACAGACAAGGAAAGGCATCACAAGGTCACACAGACAAGGACAGACAAAACTAGGGCATACAGACAAGGACAGACAACACCAGGTCACGCAGACAAGGACAGACAACACAAGGTCATACAGACAAGGACAGGCAACTCAAGGTCACACAGACAAGGACAGGCAACACAAGGTCACACAGACAACGACAGGCAACACAAGGTCATACAGATTAAGGACAGACAACACCAGGCCACACAGACAAGGACAGACAACACCAGGTCATACAGACAAGGACGGACAACACAAGGACATACAGACAAGGACAGACAACTCCAGGTCACAGACAAGGACAGACAACACCAGGTCACAGACAAGGACGGACAACACAAGGTCATACAGACAAGGACAGGCATCACAAGGTCACACAGACAAGGACAGACAACACTAGGTCATACAGACAAGGACAGACAACACCAGGTCACAGACAAGGACGGACAACACAAGGTCACACAGACAAGGACAAACAACACAAGGTCACACAGACAAGGACAGACAACACCAGGTCACACAGACAAGGACAGACAACACCAGGTCATACAGACAAGGATGAACACAAGGTCATACTGACAAAGACGGACAACACCAGGTCACACATACAAGGACGGACAACACAAGGTCACACAGACAAGGACAGACAACATCAGGTCACACAGACAAGGACAGACAACACAAGGTCACACTGATAAGGACAGACAACACCAGGTCATACAGACAAGGACAGACAACACCATGTCACACAGACAAGGACTGACAACACCAGGTCACACAGACAAGGACAGACAACACAAGGTCACACAGACAAGGACAGACAACATCAGGTTACACAGATAAGGACAGACAACACCAGGTCATACAGACAAGGATGGACAATACAAGGTCACACAGACAAGGACAGACAACACAAGGTCACACAGACAAGGACAGACAACACCAGGTTACACTGATACGGACAGACAACACCAGGTCATACAGACAAGGATGGACAACACAAGGTAACACAGACAAGGACAGAAAACACAAGGTCACACAGACAAGGACAGACAACAGGTCATACAGACAAGGAAGGACAACACAAGGTCACACAGATAAGGATAGACAAAACCAGGTCACACAGACAAGGACAGACAACACAAGGTCACCTGATAGAATTATCTGATGTTAACATGATGGTGATTTTTGTGTAAATACTTACTGAATATTTTGGCCCCATGGCTCGGATAGCATGGCCGGTCAGTGTTGCTATGGTGAACAGTTCTGGGTTTGTAGCATCAAGAGCCTTAAAAAGAGAGCATGGGAGTTGTATTGACAAGGGAAGTAAATCTGGTACAACCATCCTCCATCAATAAAACAATGCAGAATCCTGATTTAAATTGAATGAATCTCTAAAATTTAGTAACATTTTTAGTTACAATTTCCAGTTTAGCAATATTCTAAGTAACATTGAAATATTCAGTAGGATATGTAACATTTGTAGTAGCATTGACATGTTTAAAAATTTGTAGTAACATCATCAGCTTTAGTAAGATATGTAACATTTGTCGTAACATTGACATGTTTGATAGGATATGTAAAATTTATAGTAACATCAATATGTTTAATAGAATATATAAAAGTAACATCATCAGCTTTAGTAGGATACATACCATTTCCTTACATTTACACAGTACATCAGCCATCACCATACGACCTTCAGCATCAGTGTTGCCCACACGAACTCTCACCCCAGCCCTGGAGGTGATGATTTCATCTGCCACGTAACACTCTGTAACAGAATACACCCCAACAGGTAAGTCAACCGTGAACATCACAGAATACACACAACAGGTAAGTCAACCGTAAACATCACAGAATACACCACAACAGGTAAGTCAACCGTGAACATCACAGAATACACCACAACAGGTAAGTCAGCTGTGAACATCACAGAATACACCACAACAGGTAAGTCAACCGTGAACATCACAGAATACACCAAAACAGGTAAGTCAACCGTGAACTTCACAGAATACACCACAACAGGTAAGTCAGCTGTGAACATCACAGAATACACCACAACAGGTAAGTCAGCCGTGAACATCACAGAATACACCACAACAGGTAAGTCAACCATGAACTTCACAGATTACACCACAACAGGTAAGTCTACCGTGAACATCACAGAATACACCACAACAGGTAAGTCAACCGTGAACATCACAGAATGGATCACAGACACTGCAACATAGCGTCACTCGCTTCCCCTTTGGGCAGTGACCTTAAAATGACTGTAATGTAAACATCACATGACAAGTGACCTTATCACCATGTTACTGTTACTAGTGACCTTATCACTATGTTACTGTTACTAGTGACCTGATCACTATGTTACTGTTACTCGTGACCTTATCACCATGTTACTGTTACTAGTGACCTTATCACCATGTTACTGTTACTAGTGACCAATCACTATGTTACTGTTACTAGTGACCTTATCTCTATGTTACTGTTACTAGTGACCTTATCTCTATGTTACTGTTACTAGTAACCTTATCACCATGTTACTGTTACTGGTTACTTGATCCCTATGTTACTGTTCCTAGTGACCTTATCACCATGTTACTGTTCCTAGTGACCTTATCACTATGTTACTGTTACTATAGTAACCTTATCCCTATGTTACTGTTACCTATTACTTGATCCCTATGTTACTGTTCCTAGTGACCTTATCACCATGTTACTGTTCCTAGTGACCTTATCACTATGTTACTGTTACTATAGTAACCTTATCCCTATGTTACTGTTACCTATTACTTGATCCCTATGTTACTGTTCCTAGTGACCTTATCACCATGTTACTGTTCCTAGTGACCTTATCACTATGTTACTGTTACTATAGTAACCTTATCCCTATGTTACTGTTACCTATTACTTGATCCCTATGTTACTGTTCCTAGTGACCTTATCACCATGTTACTGTTCCTAGTGACCTTATCACTATGTTACTGTTACTATAGTAACCTTATCCCTATGTTACTGTTACCTATTACTTGATCCCTATGTTACTGTTCCTAGTGACCTTATCACCATGTTACTGTTCCTAGTGACCTTATCACTATGTTACTGTTACTATAGTAACCTTATCCCTATGTTACTGTTACCTATTACTTGATCCCTATGTTACTGTTCCTAGTGACCTTATCACCATGTTACTGTTCCTAGTGACCTTATCACTATGTTACTGTTACTATAGTAACCTTATCCCTATGTTACTGTTACCTATTACTTGATCCCTATGTTACTGTTCCTAGTGACCTTATCACCATGTTACTGTTCCTAGTGACCTTATCACTATGTTACTGTTACTATAGTAACCTTATCCCTATGTTACTGTTACCTATTACTTGATCCCTATGTTACTGTTCCTAGTGACCTTATCACCATGTTACTGTTCCTAGTGACCTTATCACTATGTTACTGTTACTATAGTAACCTTATCCCTATGTTACTGTTACCTATTACTTGATCCCTATGTTACTGTTCCTAGTGACCTTATCACCATGTTACTGTTCCTAGTGACCTTATCACTATGTTACTGTTACTATAGTAACCTTATCCCTATGTTACTGTTACCTATTACTTGATCCCTATGTTACTGTTCCTAGTGACCTTATCACCATGTTACTGTTCCTAGTGACCTTATCACTATGTTACTGTTACTATAGTAACCTTATCCCTATGTTACTGTTACCTATTACTTGATCCCTATGTTACTGTTCCTAGTGACCTTATCACCATGTTACTGTTCCTAGTGACCTTATCACTATGTTACTGTTACTATAGTAACCTTATCCCTATGTTACTGTTACCTATTACTTGATCCCTATGTTACTGTTCCTAGTGACCTTATCACCATGTTACTGTTCCTAGTGACCTTATCACTATGTTACTGTTACTATAGTAACCTTATCCCTATGTTACTGTTACCTATTACTTGATCCCTATGTTACTGTTCCTAGTGACCTTATCACCATGTTACTGTTCCTAGTGACCTTATCACTATGTTACTGTTACTATAGTAACCTTATCCCTATGTTACTGTTACCTATTACTTGATCCCTATGTTACTGTTCCTAGTGACCTTATCACCATGTTACTGTTCCTAGTGACCTTATCACTATGTTACTGTTACTATAGTAACCTTATCCCTATGTTACTGTTACCTATTACTTGATCCCTATGTTACTGTTCCTAGTGACCTTATCACCATGTTACTGTTCCTAGTGACCTTATCACTATGTTACTGTTACTATAGTAACCTTATCCCTATGTTACTGTTACCTATTACTTGATCCCTATGTTACTGTTCCTAGTGACCTTATCACCATGTTACTGTTCCTAGTGACCTTATCACTATGTTACTGTTACTATAGTAACCTTATCCCTATGTTACTGTTACCTATTACTTGATCCCTATGTTACTGTTCCTAGTGACCTTATCACCATGTTACTGTTCCTAGTGACCTTATCACTATGTTACTGTTACTATAGTAACCTTATCCCTATGTTACTGTTACCTATTACTTGATCCCTATGTTACTGTTCCTAGTGACCTTATCACCATGTTACTGTTCCTAGTGACCTTATCACTATGTTACTGTTACTATAGTAACCTTATCCCTATGTTACTGTTACCTATTACTTGATCCCTATGTTACTGTTCCTAGTGACCTTATCACCATGTTACTGTTCCTAGTGACCTTATCACTATGTTACTGTTACTATAGTAACCTTATCCCTATGTTACTGTTACCTATTACTTGATCCCTATGTTACTGTTCCTAGTGACCTTATCACCATGTTACTGTTCCTAGTGACCTTATCACTATGTTACTGTTACTATAGTAACCTTATCCCTATGTTACTGTTACCTATTACTTGATCCCTATGTTACTGTTCCTAGTGACCTTATCACCATGTTACTGTTCCTAGTGACCTTATCACTATGTTACTGTTACTATAGTAACCTTATCCCTATGTTACTGTTACCTATTACTTGATCCCTATGTTACTGTTTCTAGTGACCTTATCACCATGTTACTGTTACCTGTTACTTAATCCCTGTGTTACTGTTACTGGTTACTTGATATACATGTTACTGTTCCTAGTGACCTTATCACTATGTTACTGTTACTAGTGACCTTATCACCATGTTACTGTTACTAGTAACCTTATCACCATGTTACTGTTACCTGTTACTTGATCCCTGTGTTACTGTTACTGGTTACTTGATATACATGTTACTGTTACTCGTTATTCGTTACCTGATCCCACGCTGTTTCTAACCATGCAGAGTGCTCCTATAACTTTGATTCCCTTTGGCTTCATTTCCGATAATGTCTGAAAATTAATTTCTTCTGAATTAAAGCTTTATTACAGTAATATCTGAGGTAAAACAATAAAATATGCTCAGCTTTATAACAGTAAAATCTGAGGTAAAACAATAAAATATGCTCAGCTTTATAACAGTAAAATCTGAGGTAAAACAATAAAATATGCTCAGCTTTATAACAGTAATATCCTAGGTAAAACAATGAAATATGCTCAGCTTTATAACAGTAATATCTGAGGTAAGACAATAAAATATGCTCAGCTTTATAACAGTAAAATCTGAGGTAAAACAATAAAATATGCTCAGCTTTATAACAGTAAAATCTGAGGTAAAACAATGAAATATGCTCAGCTCTAAAACAGTAATATCTGAGGTAAAGTAAGTAAAGGACGTCTGTACTCACCTCGAAGAATCCTGCCACAGTGGCTGCACCACATTTGTCCCTGTGCATGCCAGCCATCACACCTCCGGCCTTGATATCAGCTCCACCAGTGTCATAGGTGATCCCCTAGAAATGATAGAGACTATTAACTGCTTACAGTATAAGGTAGCACTGTAGTAACTAGTTCCTGTAAATCTTTTGTTCAAATGTGCTCGAGCAAATATGATGATATAATTTAAAGTACACATTTTCTGAGAATATTAATAATACGCTATGTAATAAACTTACCGTAAACTATCAAATTCAAAAATGGCTGTTTCTCAGCCCCCTGGACAGTCAGCCTTTTGTTTGTAACTAAGCTAATTATTATGTACCTTTCCCACTAAAAACAGGGTTTTCTCCACCTTGCCTTCCCCTTTATACTCAAGGAAGATCAGGCGACCACGGTGTCTGTCTACTTCTGAAAATACAAAAATAGATTACACATTTAGGGTTAATCCAACATTCAAGACAAATGCTTTCTTCAGTCATCTTAATTTTCTCACAAGAAAATACTCATACACATACACACGACAGAGCCATACAACTCGCCATAGATAAAACAGCCCGATCTGAAGCTGAGACAGTTGAGGGAAATGTGACTATATTTCTGCCTGTTGTCCACTCCAATACATTGCCCACATACCCCAAATATTGTTTAACTCGTTCACCCCTGAAATTTCATAATCAGCTCTTCCAACCTTTGAATTGGAAAAGTTCAAATGTATCTTCAAGGGTGAATGAGTAAATATATATTAATTTAAGCATGCTTAACAACCTTCTGATGACACCTGCATTTAAACTAGGTCATCGTCGTTGTTTACCATAACAATAGATCAAGTTTCATCAGTATTCAGTCACATCTAAAAATATAGCTGTCTCCTTTGTATCGAAAAGGCATTTTTCAGTAAAAACTGCATCGTCAGTGGGCAATATGCAGGAAGTTAAGTCAGGTCGTAACAGTGGCCAGTAGTGGGTACTTACTGTTAGCGGCCCTGTTGACTGCGGCCAGTAGTGGATACTCATTTTGAAACTGACCATCATCAGCGTGAACCGTCACCTGCAAATGAACGTAAAATATCTCAAGGTCAGAGTAACACTTTTGATGTAACATGTTAACTAGTGAGGGATGGATCGCCTTCCAACTAACCACTTCCTATCAAACCCAGTGTAACATGTTAACCAGTGAGGGATGGATCGCCTTCCAACTAACCACTTCCTATCAAACCCAGAGGCTCCCTGTGAGTACGGTAGAGACATCCTGATTCACTAGCTTTTCTTACAATAACTTTGATGATGCATGCTTAACTAAATTTAACAAGGTTTTATCTCATTGTACTCCTCCTGTCCAATTGTCTCAGGAAGTATTTGGACATACTTAGATCTTAAGACCCTTTCTAACTTAGATCTTCAGACACTTTCTAACTTAGATCTTAAGACACTTTCTAACTCTTTCTAACTTAGATCTTAAGACACTTTCTAACTTAGATCTTAAGACACTTTCTAACACTTTCTAACTTCGATCTTAAGACACTTTCTAACTTAGATCTTAAGACCCTTTCTAACTTAGATATTAAGACACTTTCTAACTTAGATCTTAAGACACTTTCTAACTTAGATCTTAATACCCTTTTCAACTTAGATCTTAAGTCCCTTTCTAACTTAGATCTTAAGACACTTTCTAACTTAGATCTTAATACCCTTTTCAACTTAGATCTGAAATCCCTTTCTAATTTAGATCTTAAGACACTTTCTAACTTAGATCTTAAGACACTTTGTAACTAAGATCTGAAGGACATTCTAGCTTAGATTGAATTTTGAATATTTGTCTCCATTTACAGCTACATAGAGGATCTGACATTAGCTTTAATACTGTAATACTGAATTTATTTAACAAGTTTATTAATTTCATAGGAAAGGAGCCTTTGACGAGTTTCATATGAATAAATTAACGAGTTTAATAAATTCAATGTTACATGAACATGAGTATTAGATTCTATTTATTATATAATTTGAGAAACACCCCTACATAATTGTTCTCGATACACCTCCTCTATATAGTGACGACTGACGAAAGGACGAATGAAAACCTTTAAATGAACAAACCATCCTCTAGGTTTCTTTTCATGTTTTGATGATTATCATAACAAAATTGATAATGATTTTTATACTGAAACCATTCAATAGGCCCAGCGTTTATGAAAATAGTAGTGACGTCACATATTTTGACACAATGGCGTGTGCATTGTCAAGGTAAAGGTCATGGCGTGTGCACTGTCAAGGTAAAGGTCATCACAATACACATCCAAGTCGGCAATTTTTTAAAGTTTACTGGGACTGGGAGTCACTGTCACTTTCATTAATACGGGCACGTTTCTTGGGAGGGGGTCCTTGGTGAATGTGAACCTCAATGTTTCCACCTGTCACCAAGCCAGAAATTATAATGTGGAATCTGCCATGAATCCGGAACACTGACTAAGTCGACAGGTTACACGTGGTCCCATTGAGTTGGAGTGTGTCAGAGAAGTTGAAGTGGTATTTAAGCATACAGCTGCTGAACTTGTGTGAAGTATTCGGGAGATCTCTTCGAGTTGATTTGTGTTGATGTGAGATAAGTTGTTCATAGATGAAATATTTCCAAATGCTCCTGCCTCTGTCATCAATGCAAACAGTATCTCCGGTAAGTAGGTCAGCCATTTTGTTTACAGAAGTTATAGTACGTAGGAATATGATCAGATTCCTACAGTGACATGTTTGTTGTACGAGTGTAATGTTACACGTGGAACTGCTTACCTTGACTGATGAGTTCCTGAACAGTGAAGTGACATACTCCTCCACACGCGGGGCTGCCATGCGTTCCGGATCCGAGCCACCAATGTCACGTGTCACGATCCTGTCAATCATACGTAAATAACTACAAGTAATCTCCCTGTGTATTTAATGCCTGTTATATGTTAATGATAAGTCCTGGACATGGCTCCTTTTATATAACCTCAAGGTTTTAGATAATAATCCAATTTATAGAAGCAGGGATCTAGATGTGGCCTGTTTTATAGAAGCAGGGATCTGCATGTGGCCTGTTTTATAGAAGCAGGGATCTGCATGTGGCCTGTTTTATTGAAGCTGGGATCTGCATGTGGCCTGTTTTATAGAAGCAGGGATCTGGATGTGGCCCGTTTTATAGAAGCTGGGATCTGCATGTGGCCTGTTTTATTGAAGCTGGAATCTGAATGTGGCCTGTTTTAAGAAGCTGGGATCTGAATGTGGCCTGTTTTATAGAAGCTGGGATCTGCATGTGGCCTGTTTTATAGAAGCTGGGATCTGCATGTGGCCTCTTTTATAGAAGCAGGGATCTGCATGTGGCCTCTTTTATAGAAGCAAGGATCTGCATGTGGCCTGTTTTATAGAAGCTGGGATCTGCATGTGGCCTCTTTTATTGAAGCTGGGGCCCCTTAAGGACAAGTTAATTGATGCCACTGAGGGTACAGGATACAGCTGCAGGCTCTGGCTGTGATCCCTATTATTACTGCAGGATTCTGATTAAAACAAACTGAATTCTACTAACTTACCAAACTGTTGACTAGTGAGATGCTTTCTTACCTGCCTTTCTCCAAAGCATTGGCAAGGTCGATGCCCTGGGTTACACGCTCAAGGTCATTGCACCAAACCCCAAGTTTGGAGATTTTAGGACTCTTGTCTGGGACATCCTCTCGTATCTCCAGGGGCTAGAACACAACCCAGTACTCATAATTCAATGATTTAGCTGAATGACCCTTATTTAAAGAATTTGAAAGTGATCATCCAATTTGATAAAGGAATTTGAATTAGTTAACAAATTTTAAGCAGTAATGTTATAGTGTGGGTTTATAGCAGTTCTATGTAGATATGATATAACAAGGTATCACAAGTGAAACAAACCCCCTCGCATTCACACATTGTGTGCCATATGTAAGAGGAAATGAATAGAAAATTCAACGATGCAACAGTAACTGCTCAAGCGACTGCATCTTTTGAAGGTATTGTCATTGCAAACAATTGTATCAAGTTTCACGTTTTTCTAAAAATAGTAACAGTGACCTTGAACTTTCACGAAGTTACCCAAAATGTAGATTGTTCAAGGAATTGTCATACCAAACACCTGTACAGTGTATCAAGTTTGATGAAATTCTGTTGAGGAATGCAGTGGCTAGAGTGATGACAACTTTTTTTCTTAAAAAATACTAACAGTGACCTTCACCTTCAATGTAGAAACCTGAAATGCAAATGTGTTCAAGGCATTGCCATACCAAACACTTGTATGAAGTTTCATGAAATTCCATTGACCTTCAACGTAAAAAAACCTGAAATGCAAACTTATTCAAGGTATTGTCATACCAAACACTTGTATCACGTTTCATGAAATTCTGTATAGGAATGAAGTGGCTAGAGCGATGACAAATATTTTCTAAAAATAGTAACAGTGACCTTGACCTTCAACATAAAAACCTGAAATGCAAAATTATTCAAGGTATTGTCATACCAAACACTTGTATCAAGTTTCATGACATTCCGTTGAGAAATGAAGCTGCTAGAGCGATGACAAAGAGTTAACATAAGTAAATATGTATATACGTAAGTACCCGTAGGTACATATGTACACACAGGCGGAATCCTATAACCCCTCCAACTTTCATTGCAAGGGGATAATAAATATTAAAAGTCACTCGAAATCCAAGCTTTCTGGCTCGGTGCTTCATCAGGGTGTGGATGGTCCTCACTCCCCAAAGAAAGGCTGAACCCGAATACTTGGATTTAGCGTGTTAATTTTTATTGAATCATTTTCCTTCAGTGAACATTGTTGATGGACACGAGAGGTGCTATATTGTGGGGTAATCAGTTTAAGGTAGAGATAACCAGTCATTACCACATAGACAGCCTGGAGTACAGCGAGGGTTGTAACGCTGCCAGCCTTCGGGAAACTACTGTCTATAGGTCTCACCAGTAGGGGGCGTTTACATCCAGCTTTTAGTGCCCTGAAATATGAAGTGCGACATAATTGTATATGGTAAATAAGAAATAGTTTAAAAGCAATAAATAGCACAGGTGTGGCAGACTTACTAGTACAATCACCATATGTGTCGCAGATAAACTGAATGGTGTGCAATAGTGTACCATAAGTTTGTTAGTGACACATGTGGCAGTTATACCATTACGTCTGCCATATCTATGCAGATTATCGCCTATACTTTCGTTTTTATGTAAAAAAAAACATGTAAAATAATTTTTCCCTCAATACAAAATTTCCCTTGGTAATTAGCATGGCCAGGTCAAAAACTAGAACAGCAACAGAGGAACACCGGACATCACATAATTTCCTGCACTAAATCGAAAGTTAAAACAAAGCTATCATATCTGATTTGTTTTTAATCTTAAGAAAACAATTAGGATTTGAAATGAATAGATAATCATATCAGAAAAGCATCAATCTAAGTGCTGGGGAACCTTTTAAATGATGTTAGCTTTTAACACATTCACCCCTGAAATTTCATAATGAACTATTCCAACCTCTGAATTGGAAGAGTCCAAATGTGTCTTCAGGGGTGAATGAGTTAAATATTTTTTTCCCCCAAGTGGGTAGTTGAGCAATCGTAGAGGTGTAGTGCTCAGACTATGTATTCAAAAACACCCCTCAAACTGGTACGGCAGTTATGCTCTCATCAATGAATCTCCTCATAGAAAGGATACAGAAGGTATTGCCACACCAAACGGAAACATTATAATTGTGTACATGTTTATACAGGACGTGAAAAACCAAGTCTTTGATATTTACAGCACATTTTGGTCTGTTTTACATTTATTGACCTAATGTTCACTTAAACTTTAAGCCATAGGATACAAGCTACCTATAATTCCTGCTCCTTCTAAGGAACTGTTTTAGTTATTATCTTGTTGAAAAGAATCTGATGTGGTCGGAATTGGTGGCTATGAAATACTATCAGAATTGTACAACTAGCTATTGCGATACTGTATACTGAGAAATGTTTGCCCAAACAAACTTTGCCCTCCGCCCATGAAATCAATTTCTGTCCAGTGTTAATTTCACCCTTCGTATTCATTACCATGTATGTCATGCTGTTTACTTCTATTTACTCGTATGATGAATTCGCCCTCATTAAAAAGGGTGAAAAAGGAGAACATTAAACTACAGCAAAATTTACCTGTATACAATATTAACTTTCATTTCAATCCGGTCATGAAATGTAGATGTAACTAAAAATGTATCATCCAATACACATATCTGCTTTGCACTTATTTCACCGTTGACCTTGATGACAAGGTCATAGTGACATTTAATATAGTGCATACTGCACTGCACACCTTCTGCAGGTGATGCAGGTATTTTTTAAGTGGCATCAAAATATCTTCAATTGTTTAAAATTTAGTCCATACAAAACTTACTAAACATTTAGCACTTATGTAACCTCTGACCTAGAGCTGGTCAGAGCTCCTGGGGGTGATACATGCATACTCACGGTTTCATCAAGATATCATTTATGGTAATCACAAGATGTGCTGAATATGAAATATCAAAGTTGTAATCACCGCTAGATTTAAATCAGTTCTGTTTTATCTGTCACTTTATGATGTAACAGCCTATTAATATTTAACAGAACTGCAGACACTGTGTCGCATACCACACTAACTGAGTGAATCCAGGTAACACCATACACTCTGATCTACAGGACTTATATAATTAAGCTGGTCATATTTCAAAGGAGAGAACTTTCATAGCCACTGTGATCCGTCAGCCTGTGGCCTCTTGAGAAGTACAAAAGTTGGAAGTTAAGTATTTTTGACAGTCTTTGTCCTTGAAGGGACAATACAAATACAGTTAATTAAAAAAAACTCTGTAAATAGGGGGGTATCAGTACAGTTATTTCAATAACTTTATTAATTTGCATTAAGATGCAGAGGGCCCGCAGTGTTCACCTTGTCTGTAATCACATGTAAGCACACTTGTTTATAGACTGAAATTAATCACAGAATAAGGTTTGTGACTATATGTTACATGGTAAGTCAAACTTATTTCATTTTCTCTACAATATAATAAATTCACTTATGCTTTCAGCAGCAAAATGTCAAATTTGACTTCAAACTTTTGAATTATAAGAAACTGTTGAAGTTTTTACCATAGTTGATGCCAGTGACCTTGAAAGAAGGTTAAGGTCATTAATATGAGGAAATGTTATATCACTCCATCCCAGATAGATCCTACTCATAGAACAGAAGATTTTAAAGCTTTCTACTCAGTACAGCCTGTGTTGAGTGTTGACTCCAGTCAGTAACTAAAGCTGATCTTGACAAAATATATTAGCACTGTTGGTCTACTTAACATAACCAATAACCATGGCTATAGATATTGTGGTTATTTAGATAATGTTGTTTAAAGTTTTGAATATATTTGACCACTGTGACTTTCAAACTAGATCAAGGTCTGTTATATCAGGACAATCCCAGATACCTGTTTGCCAAATATTATGATTCTGGTCTTTCTAGAATTAAAGAAGAATATTATTAAATCTGCTAAACAAATATAGCCCATATTGACCTTTAACCCCAGCCAGCACTCAGAGGAGTTGACCTTTGACCTTGACAGAATATATTGGAAAAATGATTTGCACTGCTGGTCTACATGACATACCCAAGTATCATGACTCCAGATCCTATGGTTGTTTAAACTAGAACTGTAAGCCAAAGGCTTACTAAGGCAAAGCATTGCAAAGCAATCCATAGTCTCCCACCAGGTACAAGTATTTCGCACAAAGGGGCATACCTCCATCAAAAAGGGTAGAAATCCAAAATTAAAATGAGGGTGCACAACTGCAAAAGATACCGATCATTCATGCAAAGTTAAATGAAATCCACCTGTTAGTTAAGGAGGTGTTGCGCTGACAAGTATTTCGCACAAAGTGGCATAACTCCATCAAAAAGGTTGAAATCCAAAATTAAAATGCCAGTGCACAAATACATAAAATACTGATCATTTATGCAAAGTTTACCTGAAATCCACCTGTTAGATAAGGAGGAGTTTCGCGGACAATTATTTCGCACAAAGGGGCATAACTCCATCAAAAAGGGTTGAAATCCCAAATTAAAATGAGGGTGCACAACTGCAAAAGATACCAATCATTCATGCAAAGTTAAATGAAATCCACCTGTTAGTTAAGGAGGAGTTGCACGGACAAGTATTTCGCAAAAAGGGGCATAACTCCATCAAAAAGGGTTGAAATCCAAAATTAAAATGAGGGTGCACAACTGCAAAAGATACCAATCATTCATGCAAAGTTAAATGAAATCCACCTGTTAGTTAAGGAGGAGTTGCACGGACAAGTATTTCGCAAAAAGGGGCATAACTCCATCAAAAAGGGTTGAAATCCAAAATTAAAATGAGGGTGCACAACTGCAAAAGATACCAATCATTCATGCAAAGTTAAATGAAATCCACCTGTTAGTTAAGGAGGAGTTGCACGGACAAGTATTTCGCAAAAAGGGGCATAACTCCATCAAAAAGGGTTGAAATCCAAAATTAAAATGAGGGTGCACAACTGCAAAAGATACCAATCATTCATGCAAAGTTAAATGAAATCCACCTGTTAGTTAAGGAGGAGTTGCACGGACAAGTATTTCGCAAAAAGGGGCATAACTCCATCAAAAAGGGTTGAAATCCCAAATTAAAATGCCGGTGCACAACTACATAAGATACTGATCATTCATGCAAAGTTTCAATGAAATCCACCTGTTAATTAAGAAAGAAGGTTAAGGTCATTAATTAAGGAGGAGTTATCCGGATAAGTTTCTGCAGACGACAGACAGACAGACAGGGTAATTCCAGTATACCCTTCGTTGCGGGGGTATAATAATGTTGTTTAAAGTTTAAAACATGTTTGACCACTGTGACCTTGAAATTACGCAAAGGTCATTTATTTGAGAATACTTTTTAACACTTCATCCCAGGTAGCTACTAACAAAAAACCATCAGGCACTCCCTGGCAGGTGATCTAACATAACAAAACCACCAGTGGAAGGAGTGTTGATTGAGAGGCTGACTAATGTCTCTATCATGTATTAATTAAAGTGATCATGCCAGGAACTTTTAAGAATGGAAAATGTATAGAGACTACTGAAGGCTAATTCTAGACTTATACTCTAGTTGGAACTACAACCTTAAGATAATCAGGATGGGATTTTTTTCATGCTGGTGTAGGAGTAGTAATATTGTAATAAATTGCATATTAACATGATATCATAGTTATTTTTTCACTAATCACTTTGACAATTCTCTATTTCGACTACTGAAACACCTTGTGCAAACACCTTTTTAATCTCAAGATTTTATTGCAGATGTCATACATATATATTTACTTGTTGGTATTTTGTAAAGATCATCCGTCTGACTGGGTTGGCAAAGTGAAAAGAAATGTGACATTAAATCCTGTTCCGTAAGGAAGGTTGAAAACTATGGAGAGTTATAGTAACCTTTGGATGCCTTTCGTCCCAGCATCAGCAAATCGTCTCACATCATCGTAGTCCCGGTTCAGAGGTCCAGTTGGAGAAAAGATCTAAACAAACGATTCTCATGTCAGTATGTTAAGAGTTATTCCCCCTGTATATTTGACCAAAGTTAAACAAGACTCCACTAATAATAATGGCAGGGTAAATAGGGTATTGGTGACCTTAACATGGAGATTGTCAAATAAATAAAGGATGTGGCAGAGGTGCCAAACGAACTGAAATGAAGGAATTTTAGGAGGTGTACTTAAGACATTGAAAAACATGTATGTGGAGGTGTCAAAATCGCTTAAATAAGGCAAGTTGGGGAGGTGTCAAAATCACTTAAATAAGGCAAGTTGGGGAGGTGTCAAAATCACTTAAATAAGGCAAGTTGGGGAGGTGTCAAAATCACTTAAATAAGGCAAGTTGGGGAGGTGTCAAAATCACTTAAATAAGGCAAGTTGGGGAGGTGTCAAAATCACTTAAATAAGGCAAGTTGGGGAGGTGTCAAAATCACTTAAATAAGGCAAGTTGGGGAGGTGTCAAAATCACTTAAATAAGGCAAGTTGGGGAGGTGTCAAAATCACTTACACTTTTATGAACAGACTAGATAACCATTGGGCTTTACAGGAACTTTTGTAAAATTATAAATCTGAAATTCATCAATAACAAGATGGGGTAACATATGAACATTATAACTTTGTAATTTATTATGTAGATGTACTATTTGGAGTCTGGTGTAGAGGATCAGAAATGAACCTGTACCAGAAATAAACTTATCTCATCTTATGAGATTTTGTGGGGTCTCAAAGCAAGTGGGGTAGGTGTCAAAAAGACACTTTCATGAGCAAATGGAAGATGTCAAAAACAGTTTTCATAAAAAAGTTGGGGCGTGTCAACAAGAGGCCCAATGGGCCTACATCGTTCACCTAGTATTAATCTCACAGTTGTAACCTTAAAAGTGAACCAAAATAAAGCAACAGGCAAAATAATAAAATATCAGTGTCTTGTCTTAAAGGCATTCAAAAGAACCTGTTTAACAATTTAAACACATTTGGCCCCTGTGACCTAGTCAAACATGGACATTAAGTTGAACAAACTTTATAGCCCTTCATCCCAGGATGAACTTGCCAAATATCACACCATATACGTTTTGTTTATTGAGAAGACGACTTTTAAAGATTTATGCACAATTGACCAGATGTGACCTTGAAAGTGTGTCAAGGTCATTCTCATAAACAACAAAATTAGCCTAGGCATTTTGGTTATTCAGAAGAAGTCATTTAAAGATTACAACATATTTGACCCCATGTGACCTTGAGTATAAGTCAAGGTCATTCATTTAAACAAACTTGGAAGCCCTTGATCCCAGCATGCGTCTTACCAAATATCATCACCGGGACCTTTTGGATATTCATAAGAAGTCGTTTGAATATTTTAAACATATTTTACCTCTGTGACCTTGAATATAAGTCAAGGTCATTCATTTTAACAAACTTGGTAGCCCTTTATGCCAGCATGTTACTGGCCAAATATCATCACCATGGGCCTTTTGATTATTCAGAAGAAGTTGTTTTAAAGTAAAAAGTTGATGCTGGACGGACACCGGATGGATGCCGGACGCCACACTAAGGCATAAGCTTATATGCCAATATATCACCTTCGAACCAGTTGAGCTAAAAACACTAGTATGAGGCAAGTACCTTTACCTCATTAAACCAACCCTTACCCTTTTTTAACCTCACTGTATTCCCTACCAAACTTTTACCCTGTTTTTAGCTCAACTAATTATGTATAACTCACCAACCGCCTTGAAGGTATAACGTCGGTATCAACCAGGGTTACTTCCTTACCAAACGATGAATCCACCTACAACACAAAACAGAAGACTTTATACCTATAAAACAATCATCTAAAACAGCAAAAATAATGTTGTAAATGCGATTTCAGTTGAACAATTTGAGTACGAACTTGATGAACATTGGAAAAATCAGCCACAAAAGTATTGTTTCAAAGAAAAAATCAAGCTGTGAACTTTAAAATGATAATTTAGTATACTACGAGCTGACTATCAAAGGATTGTTAATCCTGTACGCATTTCATGTATATTGTCAGAATAAATCTGTGTATCTGTATTTATGCTCGCCTCACAATGCATAATGCATGCCAACAGACAAACCGGATCACAATAGGTCACTTGAGCTTTCAACCCATTATCTGTAAATCTTCAGGCAAACTAAGTCATTGTTTGCTGTATGTGGGAGCTGTAATTAAGCTCTGTCAAGCTGTACTTCTGCAACTGAGCTTCTCTAAGGATTCTACAGCTATGAAGCTGGGCTACTGAGAGGAGCTGTACTTCTAAAGCTGAACTACTGTAAGGAGCTGTATATCTAAAGCTGAACTACAGTAAGGAGCTGTATATCTAAAGCTGAACTACTGTAAGGAACTGTATATCTAAAGCTGAACTACTGTAAGGAGCAGTATATCTAAAGCTGAGCTACTGTAAGGAACTGTATATCTAAAGCTGAACTACTGTAAGGAACTGTATATCTAAAGCTGAACTACTGTAAGGAGCTGTATATCTAAAGCTGAACTACTGTAAGGAGCTGTATATCTAAAGCTGAACTACTGTAAGGAGCTGTATATCTAAAGCTGAACTACTGTAAGGAGCTGTATATCTAAAGCTGAACTACTGTAAGGAGCTGTATATCTAAAGCTGAACTACTGTAAGGAGCTGTATATCTAAAGCTGAACTACTGTAAGGAGCTGTATATCTAAAGCTGAACTACTGTAAGGAGCTGTATATCTAAAGCTGAACTACTGTAAGGAGCTGTATATCTAAAGCTGAACTACTGTAAGGAGCTGTATATCTAAAGCTGAACTACTGTAAGGAGCTGTATATCTAAAGCTGAACTACTGTAAGGAGCTGTATATCTAAAGCTGAACTACTGTAAGGAGCTGTATATCTAAAGCTGAACTACTGTAAGGAGCTGTATATCTAAAGCTGAACTACTGTAAGGAGCTGTATATCTAAAGCTGAACTACTGTAAGGAGCTGTATATCTAAAGCTGAACTACTGTAAGGAGCTGTATATCTAAAGCTGAACTACTGTAAGGAGCTGTATATCTAAAGCTGAACTACTGTAAGGAGCTGTATATCTAAAGCTGAACTACTGTAAGGAGCTGTATATCTAAAGCTGAACTACTGTAAGGAGCTGTATATCTAAAGCTGAACTACTGTAAGGAGCTGTATATCTAAAGCTGAACTACTGTAAGGAGCTGTATATCTAAAGCTGAACTACTGTAAGGAGCTGTATATCTAAAGCTGAACTACTGTAAGGAGCTGTATATCTAAAGCTGAACTACTGTAAGGAGCTGTATATCTAAAGCTGAACTACTGTAAGGAGCTGTATATCTAAAGCTGAACTACTGTAAGGAGCTGTATATCTAAAGCTGAACTACTGTAAGGAGCTGTATATCTAAAGCTGAACTACTGTAAGGAGCTGTATATCTAAAGCTGAACTACTGTAAGGAGCTGTATATCTAAAGCTGAACTACTGTAAGGAGCTGTATATCTAAAGCTGAACTACTGTAAGGAGCTGTATATCTAAAGCTGAACTACTGTAAGGAGCTGTATATCTAAAGCTGAACTACTGTAAGGAGCTGTATATCTAAAGCTGAACTACTGTAAGGAGCTGTATATCTAAAGCTGAACTACTGTAAGGAGCTGTATATCTAAAGCTGAACTACTGTAAGGAGCTGTATATCTAAAGCTGAACTACTGTAAGGAGCTGTATATCTAAAGCTGAACTACTGTAAGGAGCTGTATATCTAAAGCTGAACTACTGTAAGGAGCTGTATATCTAAAGCTGAACTACTGTAAGGAGCTGTATATCTAAAGCTGAACTACTGTAAGGAGCTGTATATCTAAAGCTGAACTACTGTAAGGAGCTGTATATCTAAAGCTGAACTACTGTAAGGAGCTGTATATCTAAAGCTGAACTACTGTAAGGAGCTGTATATCTAAAGCTGAACTACTGTAAGGAGCTGTATATCTAAAGCTGAACTACTGTAAGGAGCTGTATATCTAAAGCTGAACTACTGTAAGGAGCTGTATATCTAAAGCTGAACTACTGTAAGGAGCTGTATATCTAAAGCTGAACTACTGTAAGGAGCTGTATATCTAAAGCTGAACTACTGTAAGGAGCTGTATATCTAAAGCTGAACTACTGTAAGGAGCTGTATATCTAAAGCTGAACTACTGTAAGGAGCTGTATATCTAAAGCTGAACTACTGTAAGGAGCTGTATATCTAAAGCTGAACTACTGTAAGGAGCTGTATATCTAAAGCTGAACTACTGTAAGGAGCTGTATATCTAAAGCTGAACTACTGTAAGGAGCTGTATATCTAAAGCTGAACTACTGTAAGGAGCTGTATATCTAAAGCTGAACTACTGTAAGGAGCTGTATATCTAAAGCTGAACTACTGTAAGGAGCTGTATATCTAAAGCTGAACTACTGTAAGGAGCTGTATATCTAAAGCTGAACTACTGTAAGGAGCTGTATATCTAAAGCTGAACTACTGTAAGGAGCTGTATATCTAAAGCTGAACTACTGTAAGGAGCTGTATATCTAAAGCTGAACTACTGTAAGGAGCTGTATATCTAAAGCTGAACTACTGTAAGGAGCTGTATATCTAAAGCTGAACTACTGTAAGGAGCTGTATATCTAAAGCTGAACTACTGTAAGGAGCTGTATATCTAAAGCTGAACTACTGTAAGGAGCTGTATATCTAAAGCTGAACTACTGTAAGGAGCTGTATATCTAAAGCTGAACTACTGTAAGGAGCTGTATATCTAAAGCTGAACTACTGTAAGGAGCTGTATATCTAAAGCTGAACTACTGTAAGGAGCTGTATATCTAAAGCTGAACTACTGTAAGGAGCTGTATATCTAAAGCTGAACTACTGTAAGGAGCTGTATATCTAAAGCTGAACTACTGTAAGGAGCTGTATATCTAAAGCTGAACTACTGTAAGGAGCTGTATATCTAAAGCTGAACTACTGTAAGGAGCTGTATATCTAAAGCTGAACTACTGTAAGGAGCTGTATATCTAAAGCTGAACTACTGTAAGGAGCTGTATATCTAAAGCTGAACTACTGTAAGGAGCTGTATATCTAAAGCTGAACTACTGTAAGGAGCTGTATATCTAAAGCTGAACTACTGTAAGGAGCTGTATATCTAAAGCTGAACTACTGTAAGGAGCTGTATATCTAAAGCTGAACTACTGTAAGGAGCTGTATATCTAAAGCTGAACTACTGTAAGGAGCTGTATATCTAAAGCTGAACTACTGTAAGGAGCTGTATATCTAAAGCTGAACTACTGTAAGGAGCTGTATATCTAAAGCTGAACTACTGTAAGGAGCTGTATATCTAAAGCTGAACTACTGTAAGGAGCTGTATATCTAAAGCTGAACTACTGTAAGGAGCTGTATATCTAAAGCTGAACTACTGTAAGGAGCTGTATATCTAAAGCTGAACTACTGTAAGGAGCTGTATATCTAAAGCTGAACTACTGTAAGGAGCTGTATATCTAAAGCTGAACTACTGTAAGGAGCTGTATATCTAAAGCTGAACTACTGTAAGGAGCTGTATATCTAAAGCTGAACTACTGTAAGGAGCTGTATATCTAAAGCTGAACTACTGTAAGGAGCTGTATATCTAAAGCTGAACTACTGTAAGGAGCTGTATATCTAAAGCTGAACTACTGTAAGGAGCTGTATATCTAAAGCTGAACTACTGTAAGGAGCTGTATATCTAAAGCTGAACTACTGTAAGGAGCTGTATATCTAAAGCTGAACTACTGTAAGGAGCTGTATATCTAAAGCTGAACTACTGTAAGGAGCTGTATATCTAAAGCTGAACTACTGTAAGGAGCTGTATATCTAAAGCTGAACTACTGTAAGGAGCTGTATATCTAAAGCTGAACTACTGTAAGGAGCTGTATATCTAAAGCTGAACTACTGTAAGGAGCTGTATATCTAAAGCTGAACTACTGTAAGGAGCTGTATATCTAAAGCTGAACTACTGTAAGGAGCTGTATATCTAAAGCTGAACTACTGTAAGGAGCTGTATATCTAAAGCTGAACTACTGTAAGGAGCTGTATATCTAAAGCTGAACTACTGTAAGGAGCTGTATATCTAAAGCTGAACTACTGTAAGGAGCTGTATATCTAAAGCTGAACTACTGTAAGGAGCTGTATATCTAAAGCTGAACTACTGTAAGGAGCTGTATATCTAAAGCTGAACTACTGTAAGGAGCTGTATATCTAAAGCTGAACTACTGTAAGGAGCTGTATATCTAAAGCTGAACTACTGTAAGGAGCTGTATATCTAAAGCTGAACTACTGTAAGGAGCTGTATATCTAAAGCTGAACTACTGTAAGGAGCTGTATATCTAAAGCTGAACTACTGTAAGGAGCTGTATATCTAAAGCTGAACTACTGTAAGGAGCTGTATATCTAAAGCTGAACTACTGTAAGGAGCTGTATATCTAAAGCTGAACTACTGTAAGGAGCTGTATATCTAAAGCTGAACTACTGTAAGGAGCTGTATATCTAAAGCTGAACTACTGTAAGGAGCTGTATATCTAAAGCTGAACTACTGTAAGGAGCTGTATATCTAAAGCTGAACTACTGTAAGGAGCTGTATATCTAAAGCTGAACTACTGTAAGGAGCTGTATATCTAAAGCTGAACTACTGTAAGGAGCTGTATATCTAAAGCTGAACTACTGTAAGGAGCTGTATATCTAAAGCTGAACTACTGTAAGGAGCTGTATATCTAAAGCTGAACTACTGTAAGGAGCTGTATATCTAAAGCTGAACTACTGTAAGGAGCTGTATATCTAAAGCTGAACTACTGTAAGGAGCTGTATATCTAAAGCTGAACTACTGTAAGGAGCTGTATATCTAAAGCTGAACTACTGTAAGGAGCTGTATATCTAAAGCTGAACTACTGTAAGGAGCTGTATATCTAAAGCTGAACTACTGTAAGGAGCTGTATATCTAAAGCTGAACTACTGTAAGGAGCTGTATATCTAAAGCTGAACTACTGTAAGGAGCTGTATATCTAAAGCTGAACTACTGTAAGGAGCTGTATATCTAAAGCTGAACTACTGTAAGGAGCTGTATATCTAAAGCTGAACTACTGTAAGGAGCTGTATATCTAAAGCTGAACTACTGTAAGGAGCTGTATATCTAAAGCTGAGCTACTGTAAGGAGCTGTATATCTAAAGCTGAACTACTGTAAGGAACTGTATATCTAAAGCTGAGCTACTGTAAGGAACTGTATATCTAAACCTGAACTACTGTAAGGAGCTGTATATCTAAAGCTGAGCTACTGTAAGGAGCTGTATATATAAAGCTGAACTACTGTAAGGAGCAGTATATCTAAAGCTGAACTACTGTAAGGGGCTGTATAACTAAAGCTGAGCTACTGTAAGGAACTGTATATCTAAAGCTGAACTACTGTAAGGAACTGCAACTACTGTAAGGAACTGTAAATCTAAAGCTGAGCTACTGTATGGAGTTTGTTATGGTACAAACCTGACTATAACTTTCCAGTGGAGCCTTTAAACACTCCAGGTTGTTATTGACACCTGATAATTTGGTCACGCTATCTGTTACCACGACAACGCCATCAAACTGTGGATCCTTGACATCAAGGCATGGAATCAGTTCAGGAAGCCTGAAAACAAAACACATGTTTAGGACCTCTAGTCCAGTTATCCAAATATTTTGACTTTTGTAACATTCCGACAAGGTATTGCTGAGTAATAATAATCCCTAATAATTCCAGGTTACAGGGAAGATTTGACCCCTTTTTCCCAGTTAGCTAATCGCCCAATATCATAACACTAGGCATCTTGGTAATTTAGAAGTAATTTAAATAATTTAACGTTTGAACATTATGACCTTGAAAGTGGATCAAGGTCATATTTTTCAATGAACTTGGTAGCTACAGACAAAGTATCACCACTAGGCCTATTTGTTACTCAGAAAAACTTGTTCAGAAAAACTTGTTCAAATATTTTAACATTTTTGACCCCTGTGACCTGAAAGAAGGTCAAGGTCTTTTCGATATATCTGGTAGGACTTCATCATGTGATACCCATACATTCTACTTACATGCAGCATATATATATACATTGGTAAATAGCAATACCACTTCACATTATCCAGTTTGAGGCTTGTGTATGTAAAAGTCTTTAAATGACACAGTTGACAGTTAAAGTATAGCCTGAAATAATAATAAAATCTATTAGCTGTAACTGAAAGAGATCGAGTTATCTCAGTCGAGGGCTAAGATTCTGTAACATAATCCCAATCGAGGCGTAAGCCGAGGTTGGGATGCTACAGAATCTTAGCCCGAGACCGAGATAACAAGATCTTGTTCAGTTACAGGTAATTGATTTTTTTTCTCGTATATTTTAGTTCGAAAAAAACCTATTCAATTTTGATAAAAACTATAAGTATCCAGTCTGGGGACTCAAATGAAAATTAGAATGCTTCCACGTAAAAATGTAGTCCATCCTTACAAAGCAGACAATGTATTTCACAGAGTAGATTATATTATATCTACAACATCAGATATATAATAACATACACAAGAGGCCCAGAGGGCCTGTATCGTTCACCTGGATGTCTAAGCAATCATGGCAAAATATTCTCCAAATGGCATCCAAGGGAATGGGCCAGACCCCAAGACCTATCCTCGTAGCAAATCTGTATTAGATTTTTCATGCCCAGCAATTTTATGTATGATTATGGGGTGGGGATCTCAACTGTTTCCAATCTGTGATTCAGAAACTAGGTCCCTAGGGTTGTGGCCAGACCCTAGGATCAGTTCTAATATCATGACTGCATTCGTCTCTTTATGCCCAGAATTTGTATAAACAGTTTTGGGTTGGGGATCTCAACCGTTTCAAAGTTATGACCCAGGGGTTAAGTCTGCAAGGGTGGGGCAGACCGCGGGGTCAATTCTAATATCATGACTTCATTCATCTCTTTATGCCCAACAATTGTATATATAGTTTTGGGGTGGGGATCTTAATGGTTTAGAAGTTAGGACCCAGGGGTGAAGTCTCAAAGGCTGGGGCAGACCCAGGGGCCATCCTGGAAGTGTATGTGCATTCATCTCTTTATACTCAGCAATTGTATATATGGTGATAGGGTGGTGCTCTCAACTGTAATAAACCTTTTTTGGCCCCATCCCTTAGCACGGAATGTCTACCCCACCATTTGTACAATTTTGAATCCCTACCTCCTATGAATTCTTCCAACCAAATATGATTGATATCCAGTGCATAGTTCTACAGAAGAAGTTGTTTATAGCAATATAGCAAAATTGCCCCCTTTTGGCCCCACCCCTCAGCCCCCTGGGGGGTCAGCCCCACCATTTGTACAATTTTGAATTCCCACCACCTAAGGATGCTTCCATTCAAAGGTAAATTCCAATAACTGGTTAAGAAGATGAAGTTGTTTGAAGAAATTGTTGACGTACAGATGACGGGCGGACGACAAACGCCACGGTATGGCATGAGCTCATCTTGGTCCTTTGGACCCAGTGAGCTAAAAATACAATTAACGACAGTATATTTATAATGTAACAGTATACTTATAATGTAAATTGTCAATTTAAAGCCCCTAAGTGCGGAAGAATAAATTGCAGTGTAAAAATTCTGCGAAATGTCACGTAAAGGACACAGACAGATCGGACGAGATAGAAAAATCTAGCATGGGGTATGACGTAGGATGTATCTGTCTGAGGTGCGAGAATACTATATCTTGTTAAACATCACATATCACTAGGAAAAGCTTTTTTTGATAGTTTATATATAGAATGTTAGTCAACACACCACTTTGACAGTCTATATATAGAATGTTAGTCAACACACACACCTCTTTGATAGTCTATATATAGAATGTTAGTCACTCACACACCTGTTTGATAGTCTATATATAGAATGTTAGTTACTCACACACCTCTTTGATAGTCTATATATAGAATGTTAGTCACTCACACCACTTTGATAGTCTATATATAGAATGTTAGTCACTCACACACCTCTTTGATAGTCTATATATAGAATGTTAGTCACTCACACCACTTTGACAGTCTATATATAGAATGTTAGTCACTATACACACACCTGTTTGATAGTCTATGTATAGAATGTTAGTCACTACACACCTCTTTGATAGTCTATATATAGAATGTTAGTCACTCACACCACTTTGACAGTCTATATATAGAATGTTAGTCACCACACACCTCTTTGATAGTCTATATATAGAATGTTAGTCAACACACACACCTCTTTGATAGTCTATATATAGAATGTTAGTCACTCACACCACTTTAACAGTCTATATATAGAATGTTAGTCACTACACACACCTGTTTTATAGTTTATATATAGAATGTTAGTCACCACACACCTCTTTGATAGTCTATATATAGAATGTTAGTCACTCACACCACTTTAACAGTCTATATATAGAATGTTAGTCACTCACACACCTCTTTGATAGTCTATATATAGAATGTTAGTCACTACACACCACTTTGATAGTCTTTATATAGAATGTTAGTCACTCACACCACTTTGACAGTCTATATATAGAATGTTAGTCACTCACACACCTCTTTGATAGTCAATATATAGAATGTTTGTAACCACACACCTCTTTGATAGTTTATATATAGAATGTTAGTCACTATACACACCTCTTTGATAGTCTATATATATAATGTTTGTCACCACACATTTGTTTGATAGTTTATACATAGAATGTGAGTCATGCCACACCTATCTTAAAGTTTATATCTTTGAACGACTGTATATAGAATGTTAGTCACTGCACACCTCTTTGACAGACTATAAATATAATGTTATTAGCCACTACACACTCTTTATAGCGCAGAGTTTCCTCTGGCCCTGACAATAGACTTAGACATTTTGACAGATAGATGTCCCACACCAGACACATATCTGTCAAAATGTCAAAAGTCTGGTGTCAGGGCCAGAGGACACTCCGGATAACACTCTTTAATAGTCTATAACGGTAGTTGAAACAGTAATCGGGTACACATATACATATCGTACGTGCTAGTCTATCTCGGTATAATTTTAGCTACACGTCAGAAGCGCGTGTCTGCACAGAAATTTACACCTAATAATTATAAAGATATGCATAGACATCTATCCCAATCACACAGTAACGAGGACAACCTGCTAACAATTGCGTTACCAGTTACGTATATATATCGGGGTCAATAGATATGACCCGACCGACATTTTGATGACCTGCTCTTATCCATAGCTTTAGTGTATATATGGATTTTTGAACTTCGTTTTTTCCCCGTTACACCCGTTCCATGTCATTAACGCCCCTCCCCAATCTCTGCCATGTTTACACTAGCCTCGTGTCTCCACCCGGGAGTCCCGCAGGCCTTTATTCAAACACTTACCCGTTATTCTCCATGCTGCTATCTAGACCAACACCGCCGTCCTGCTGTACACGAACTGAAAGTAGACCTACGACCACGTGACGAGCCTTAATTATCAGCTAGTAGAAGACCGTTCTCGTGTACATGTGATGTCATAGGGCAGCGGATAAGCGAATCGGAGAGTACAAACTTTACCAACTCTAATCAAGTTTGTTGAAGTATAACAATTTGTCAAATACTGAAAAATCTTCAAAATGCCTCATGTATCAACAGCAAACTAAATTTTAATTTTATATTTGCAAATATTTTACAGCGATTTCCTGGATCCATTCTGATTAGTTATATCACGGAATTGAATAAGTCCGTGGTTATATAAAGTTATAACCAGTGGCTGTTCACTAACATACAGAGCACAGGGAACTGATAATTTGTTTCACCTATATTTGGACCTAAACTAGTTCAGGTACATATATGTATAGATCAACTTTTGGAATGCCGATGGTTGGAGGTGGCATTTTTACTGAAATTTGATCTTAACCCTAAAACGTGTAAAATAACTCTGAACACCTTAGCTAAGGTCTAAATATAGCTGTAGCAAGTTCTCAGGTCCCTGTGATACAGAACCGTCAGAGGAGATTTCCTCCTCTTTCCGGGGAAACTCTACGGGAAAAAACTTCTTCATGTGACGAAACCCAGTCATCCATACTAGTGTACGAAGGCTTGACAGTTCAAAGATTTGACAGTCCAAAGACCTGACAGTCCGAAACCTTGACAGTCAAAAGACTTGACAGTCCGAGACTTGACAGTCCAAAGGTGTGACAGTTCAAAGGATTAACAGTCCGAAGACTTGACAGTCCAAAGACTTGGCAGTCCGAAACCTTGACAATCCGAAGACTTGACAGTCCAAAGACTTGGCAGTCCGAAGGCTTGAAAATCCAAAGACTTTACAGTCCGAAAACTAGACAGTTCGAAGACGTGACAGACCTAAAGCTTGACAGTCCGAAGACTTGACAGTCCAAAGGATTGACAGTCCGAAGACTTGACAGTCTAAAGACGTGACAGACCGAAAGCTTGACAGTTTTACATGATCGGGGCAGAATCGGACTAAATTATATATATACATTTATGTCGTTATGTTATTACTTATGAGACCTATATTTGTAGTATTATATATTTTTTATCGGGTATAAGATATATTTGATAAAAGAATTGCAACGAATTAAGAGTATTGTATGGATATGGATCGGGCAGGAACAGGCGACGATTTACAGGAACGGACAGAAACGGGCGACGATTTACAGGAACGGACAGAAACGGGGCAGGATCGATGATTGGCTTGTTTCGCAGGTGATTGTTGGCCAAGAAATTTGCCGACAGAGTCATCAATGTACGTTTTTGTTGGAACGATAAGTCTATTGTCTACTATTACGGAATTAGATAATCAGTTTTGACCACATGATGGCACATCGGCCTTTGAAAACTGATTTTCTCTACCCCAGACATAATGTTTGTAATTTTCATATTTAGGACATCAAACTGATGTAATCTAAATGGATTTGGTTTAAAAAAGTCAAATAGGAAAAAAATGCTAAAACCCTTCATTTCACCATTATGGTAAAGTGAAGGCCCCCTGCCCCACCCTGATTGTCTCTACCCAAGACATAATGTTTGTAATTTTCATATTCAGGACATCAAACTGATGTAATCTAAATGGATTTGGTTTAAAAAAGTCAAATAGGAAAAAAATATATGCTAAAACCCTATATTTCACCATTATGGTAATTAAGTGAAGCTCCCCTACCCCACCCTAGATTTCTCTACTTCAGACATAATTTTTGAGGTTTTCAGATAGAATACATCAAGTTGAAGTAAACTTAAAGAAAATGAATGGAAAAAAGTTTGTCAGAATAGAAATCGATGGAACCCTTCATTTCACCATGGGGCGGTTCATATTACCATAATGGCAATATGAACCACGGTTCATTTCACCATAATGGCAATATGAACCACGGTTCATTTCACCATGCTTCACAATACCATGCTACACCGGGCTACTCAAAATATTTGATAATAAAAGCACGAACTTACTCCGTGATAAAAGTACATAATCTGTTATATATACTTGGCTCAGAGACATCTTCTCCTTGAGCTTACCTGTATGTTTAATCATTGTGAAATGAAAAATTAATTCCATATAAGTTTTGTTTTGTCTTCTCACTGAAAAGTTTTAGAATTCGTCTAATGCAAGTGACTTCCACTTATGACTTTCTTCATTCATTAAAGCGTTTCATCGTTTTTCTTTCTTCTTTACATATACAATTTATGTACAGAATTGTTTTTCTAAAACAGATAATGCCTATGTGGTCAAACAATCCAACATATGGACTTCAATATCTATTTACGTAAAACACGTTTTCAAGTAATTTATATTTATATATAGAATAATATTTAATTTTCAGACTGATGTCACTTTTTTGAGTTGGAAAATTGCGTATTTTCTTTGAAAAAATACTAAGAAGTTTCCTTTGATTGAACTGTTAAGCGTGCACATCATCTGCACATCAATAAGCACAAGGACAAATGATTAATTCAATCTTAATGAATTTTGTTAATTCATAATCATAATGTCATTTCCAATGTTTCATGTGTTATTATGACATTGCAATAACCATGTCATATATATAAATGAGAAAATCAACAAAGAGACATATATATTATATATGTAATATATAATTATCTTTAATCAAATATATCTTATACACGATAAAAAATATATAAGATATATATAATTTAGTCCGATTCTGGCCCGATCATGTAATTGCATTTTTCTTATCAAATATACCTTATACCCGATAAGGATAATTAAATATATACAATAAATATATATAAATAAGTCCGATCCTGCCCCGTTTCTGTCCGTTCCTGTAAATCGTCGCCCGTTTCTGTCCGTTCCTGTAAATCGTCGCCCGTTCCTGCCCGATCCATATCCATACAATACTCTTAATTCGTTGCAATTCTTTCATCAAATAATATCTTATACCCGATAAAAAATATATAATACTACAAATATAGGTCTCATAAGTAATAACGACATAAATGTATATATAGATATACTTTAGTCCGATTCTGCCCCGATCATGTAATTGCAATCCTTTTATCAAATATATCTTATACCCGATAATGATACTTAAATATGTCTAATATATATTTTCATTAATGTATATAATAATTAATATATTTCTGCCCGTTCCTGCCCGTTCCTGTAAATCGTCGAACCCAATTTTAGCTACCCGTCAGAAGCGCGTGCTGCACCCAAATTTACACCTAATAATTATTAAGATATGCATATGCAACGGACAATTTGATATAGAATGGCGTAAATGGAAAAAGTTAATTGATTTATAATATAGAGTACTCTTGCTGTTTTTTTACTTGTAAATTATTATTAGTAGTACCAGTGTTATTGTTATTCATATATCAAGTAGGCTTCTCCCAGCCCTTGGCAAAGCTGAAATTATATGTCTTGTCTATATATAGCTACCTCCCAACCTGTTCTTCCACTTTGTTTCTATTTCTTTTTCTCGCTTTCTTTTTCTTTTCTTTAAACGTCTTTAATTCTTTCTACATGCTATTTGTCTGTCCAGCCAATAAAGTGCAATATACATTCATGTAAATCTGATCTTATTTATCACTGCAGGTATACAATAGATAATTTATTGTTTATTTTTTTTT